CTCGGCCCCAAAACAATGTGGCCTTCTAAGGTCCTAAAAATGAGTATCTGGTAAACACGTTGATTTGTAACCAAAAGAAATCTTCCTTTTAAAAATGAAAACCAGAAAAAAAAAAAAATGTTGACAACAAGATCATAAGTCACAGAAACTCTATTATGAATCAAAACAACAGATGTAACACAAACAACAGCATCTTTTATAAATACAAATTAGACTTTTCTATTTCATGCATTGGAGAAACTCATATGCCCCAAGTAAATTCCCCTGAATCCCTCAGTAGTGTTCTATGGTCAGTGTTGACACACTGTTACCAAAAAAACCCATGGATGATTTATATTCCAGCAGTCACTAACCCCAAACCACATTTTTTTGTCAGACCTGACATTAATAACTATATTATTTTTGCAGCAGAAGAAGCAAAGTGAAATCACCTGTACTTTGGTTCTTCACAGTGAATCATTAGTGATTTCTTGATCTATATTCACTTTCCTTCTTTCTTTATTAGCAGGCCTACTGACTGCATTATCACCCTAAGCACCAGAGAGGAACTAAATTATCACAGTGCTCTCTCCACAAAGCAGGCATCATACAGTGTTAGCTGTAATCAGTCTCTGGGCCCAAACACCTCAGATTTCAAACAGGAAATAACTTTGTCCTTCCCATTTCACAACTCTGAAGAACCAGTGTTCCTGGGACCACAGGAACTTCTCCAGGTCAAAAATTCTCTGGATTTGCACTTATCTGTTACTGCAACAGATAAGCTACAATTGATGAATCAGTCAAAGTACCTTGCAGAAGCAGACAAGAGTGCCTGCCCTTGCTCACTGACAATGGGAAAAGTAGAACAGCCAGATCACGTTTACATTTCCATGTCTGATCACATGAGGGAGAAGAGAAGCTCAGCTACTGCTTCATTCCTTTCATGGTATGCCCTGTTACTGGCAACTCATTCGTTCTGTGTAGCCCAGGCCCATGAAGAAACAAAACTCCATTGAACAGCATTTACAGAGCTGCTTCTATTTCCCATTATCACGGTATTCATCTGATTATTTATAGGTAGCTTTCAAAGACTATTACTAAGACTTTGCATAATGAACACATAAATTTTGCACCAGCTCTAGCCTAACAAGAATGCAGGGCTTGACTTTTCTCTCGCCAGTTTTGCACTGGTGTAATTACACTTACTTCAGTGGTGAAACCTCTGATACCAAAGCAACAGCATGTCACAACATGACACTCATGAACCAGAAAGTATTCCTAACTATCTCTAAATACATCATGAAGGGAATGCTTCTTTTTAACATTTCATCCCTATTTTCAGCAGATACGTCAAAACCTAACAACTTACTCATCTGACATGATTCTACAATGTTATTTCTGCCTAGTCATGTGCACTAACTGTGCCATTCTCCGCTCTTCCCATCCTGTTCCAGGTTGAAACTAACCTTGCACCGTCTCTTTTGTGTCTAATCCACACTCAGGGTGGAGTAGGCTTCTCAGATGATGGAAGTCAATAGAGAGTTTGTGGGTCAGGGTTAAAGGGAGAACAGCAATGGGAGACATTACTGTGGGGATCTGTTACAGCCCACTTGATGAAGAGGACTCTGGATGAAGCACTATATAGACAGATAGTAACAGCCTCACACTTGCAGGCCCTTGGGGGACTTCCCCCCATGGGGCACTTCAACCACCCTGATATCAGTTGGAGAGACAGTACAGCCCAGCACAAGCAATCCAGGAGGTTCCCCGATTGTGTGGAAGACAACTTCCTTCTGCAAGTAATAGAGGAGACGACGAGGAGAGGTGCCATGCTTGACCTCGTGATCACCAACAGGGAAGGGCTCGTTGGAAATGTGAGGCTCCAGGGCAGCCTTGGATGCAGCGATCATGAGATGTCGAATTTGAGATCCTCAGGACAGTGAGAAGACCGTGCAGCAAGCTCACTGCCCTGGACTTCAAGAGCAGACTTTGGCCTCTTCAGGAACCTGCTTCGGAAGGTTCCATGGGATATAGCCCTAGAGGGCAGGGGGCCCCAAGACTCTTGGTTGATATTCAGGGATCACCTGCTACAAGCTCAGAAGTGTTGCAACCCAACTAAAAGGAAGTGCAGCAGGAGGGCCAGGAGACCTCCTTGGATGGATAAGGAGCTGCTGAGGAAAATTCAAATGAAAAAAGAGGCTTATAAAAGGTGGAAGCAAGGACAGGCGGCCTGGGAAGAATACAGGGATGTTATCCGGGAAGCTAGGGACCAGGTTAGGAAAACTAAGGCCCAGTTAGAATTAAACTTGGCTAGGGATGTGAAAGATAACAGGAAGGGATTCTATAGGTACATTGCAAATAAAAGACAGACTAGGGACAACGTGGACCCTCTCTGGGAGCAATCAGGAGAACTGGCTACCCTGGATTTGGAGAAGGCTGAGGTTCTTAATGACTTCTTTGCCTCAGTCTTCATTGGCAAATTCTCTGATCACACCACCCAAGTCTTGGAAGGCAGACGCAGGGACTGTGAGAATGAAGACCTTGGGCCCACTGTAGGAGAGGATCTGGTTCAAGACCATCTTAAGAACTTGAATGTGCATAGGACCTGATGAAATCCTTTCACGGATCATGAAGGATCTGGCAAATGAAGTTGCTAAGCCACTGGCCATCATATTTGAAAAATTATGGCAGTCGGGTGAAGTTCCTGACTACAGGAAAAAGGGAAATATAACCCCCATTTTTAAGAAGGGGAAAATGTATGACCCGGGGAATTACAGACCAGTCAGTCCCACCTCTGTGCCTGGCAAAATCTTGGAGCAGATTCTCCTGAAAGGCATGCTAAGGCACATGAAAAACAAGATGCTTGGTGACAGCCAGCATGGCTTCACTAAGGGGAAATCCTGCCTGACCAATTTGGTGGCCTTCTATGATAGGGCTATGGAACTGATGGACAGGGGTAGAGCAGGTGTGATCTACCTGGACTTGTGCAAAGCGTTCGACACTGTCCCACACGACATCCTTGTCTCTAAATTGGAGAGACATCTATTTGATAGGTGGACCACCTGGTGGATAAAGAACTGGCTGGATGGCCACACACAAAGAGTTGTGGTCAATGACTCAATGTGCAGCTGGAGATCAGTAACAAGTGGTGTCCCTCAGGGATCGGTGTTGGGACCGGTCTTGTTTAACATCTGTCGCTGACATGGACAGTGGGATTGAGTGCACCCTCAGCAAGTTTGCCGATGACACCAAGCTGTGTGGTTTGGTTGATATGCTGGAGGGAAGGAATGCCATCCAGAGGGACCTTGACACACTTGTGAGGTGGGCTCATGCCAACCTCATGAAGTTTAACCATGACAAGTGCAAGGTCCTACAGCTGGGTTGGAGCAATGCCAGGCACAGCTACAGGTTGGGCAGAGAAGAGATTCAGAGCAGCCCTGTAGAGAAGGACTTGGGGGTGCTGGTCAATGAGAAAATGAACATGAGCCGGCTTCAGTGTGAGCTTGCAGCCCAGAAAGCCAACCGTATCCTGGGCTGCATCAAAAGGAGCATGACCAGCAGGTCAAAGGAGGTGATCCTGCCCCTCTACTCTGCTCACGTGAGACCTTACTTGGAGTATTGTGTGCAGTTCTGGTGTCCTCAGCATAAAAAGGACACGGAACTGTTGGAACAAGTCGAGAGGATGATCAGGGGACTGGAGCACCTCCCGTATGAAGACAGGCTGAGAAAGCTGGGGCTGTTCAGCCTGGAGAAGAGGAATCCTGCGCGGAGACCTCATAGCAGCCTTCCAGTATCTGAAGGGGTCCTGTAAGGATGCTGGGGAGGGACTCTTCACTAGGGACTGTAGTGACAGGACAAGGGGTAATGGGTTAAAACTTAAACAGGGGAAGTTTAGATTGGATAAAAGGAAGAAGTTCTTTACTGTAAGGGTGGTGAGGCACTGGAATGGGTTGCCCAGGGAGGTTGTGAATGCTCCACATCCCTGGCAGTGTTCAAGGCTGGGTTGGACAGAGCCTTGGGTGACATGGTCTAATGTGGGAGGTGTCCCTGCCCATGGCAGGGGAGTTGGAGCTAGATGATCTTAAGGTCCTTTCTAACCCTAACGATTCTATGATTCTAAGTACCAATGAGATGCAATGGAAAAATTTTTTTACCTTGCTTTCTCTTTTGTTGTTGGACAAAGAAGCTCTAAAATACTAATGCTGTTTTGGAGTACAAAACCTTTACATGTTTAAACCCCATGCAAATAATTATGTATTGATAAAGAGGCAATTCCTGAACATAATTTTAATTGAGTACATCGTCCTTCCCCTTCTCTCTCTGCTGATGCATGCTCATCTCTCTAGCCTTTTCTAGGAGGCTTTTAAAGTGTAAAGTTGCAGAGCTCAAATGCGTAAAGTATCATTTCTCCAAAGGCACATGGTCAGAACTTAAGTTTGAAATGGTTATGCACTTAGTCATAGAATATATAACATCACATGACTTAGACAACAAATCATGACACACAGAGCAAATGCTGTAAACCACACATCATTCGAATTCTCACAGAACACTTCACTATCCCTCCATAAACAGATTCTGCCAGGCAAAGGTGGGTTCACAAATTAGACTCTTGGTTTTTTTTTCAGTTTTAATGTTGCAAATGCTCCATTCCAGTAAATTACTCTAAATGACTCTGGTGTAAAATAAGTCTCTGTCCCATTCAGATCATAGCAAATTAGAAGACCTGCACATAAGACTCTGCCTGAGGCTACTCCACTACACCAAACAGATTTTTGCGCTTCATCAGGACACTGGCATTCCTACTACTATAAACACTGAAACAAGACATTTCCAAAAATCTTCTAAACCCACCTCAGATAATGGAAATCTAATAGGTCTTTTCTAACTTTCCGTCCTATTATATTACATACATTACATACAATTAAAACCTGTAGTACAAATGACTTAATTAAAGAAAACTCAAATCCACTGAAAAGAGCATCTTCATTATAGAAGAGATAAAAGAAATGAAGTATTACCTTGGCAGGTTCGTTCATCTGTGAGCAGTTTATAGCCTTTTTGGCAGCTGCACTCAAAGCTGCCAACTGTGTTTCGGCAGAAATGGTCACAGCCACCATTGTTTACCAGGCACTCATCAATATCTGCAAAGAATGAATGAGCAAAAATTGAGTTCATGACAGCAATTCAGTAGTTCAGAGCAGGAGTACAGAAATTTACTCAGACCCCAAGAAGGCTGTTGGCTCTCTTAGGATTCAGGTTGGTCAGAGGTACCTCTTCCCAAAACTTTCTTGCAAGGTTTACAAAACAGCTATGGGCTGAACTGCTCTGGAGGCAGAGAGATTTCTCGCACAACTGGAACTGCCAGATGACCCAAGTTGGCACTTTGATGTTAAAGAACATTTAAAGAAGCTTCTTTGTAGATGCAGCGGTCTGCTTAACAGAAGACTTCAGCCTGTGTAAGATGTGAATCTGTTGCCTTGCACAGGAACTATCAAAATGCAAGAACACATGAAAAACTGAAATAACAACCAAGTAAAACATACATGAATGCTGAAAATACTTCCATTATCCCTATATAAACAAATGTAGGAATATAATTTTTTTAAATTAGCATTATATGCTGGTTTTTCCATTACGAATACAAAGTCACTAAATACCCATTTTCATGTGTCTTGCTTTCTTGATTTAATATATATATAATAGAAGAGCAACTGCAAGTGCATGTGAAATGTTGCTTTTTCAGTTGTTCTGAAGCCATATTTATATATGTATATATGCAAGAAGGATGAGATCAACGGCTCTTACTTTACATACTGATTATGAAGAGCATTGATGAACTTGATAAGACCTCTGTTCTGAATTTCAGACTGCTGATTCTGCTTCCTCCACCTTATAACTTCTCCCAAAAGTGTTGAAGAACTGGAATGATCAGTCCTTTTTCCGATCAAGAAAAGTTTGCGCAATAAGTACATAACAGGTCACAGAACCTCATTTAAAATATAGGGCATCTTTCCACCCTCCCTCACTTATAAAACCATGGATCCATGTTCATTTGAAAGAGAAAAATATGTGGTTGGCTTCTTTTTTTTTATTTTTTTCTTTTTTTTTGGTATGTGTGTTTTTTTTTTTTCTGTTTTTGGTTTTGTTTTGTTTTGGTTTTTATATTAGGAGTAGGACAGTGCAAAAATAGCTCATTTTAGGGGTGCATACAGTGAAGAAGTAACATGATATAAAGCCTTGGCTGACCACTTCTGAAGTGAAAACAAGATCTTTCAGAAAACCAAGTGGAGAGTGGTATTTCCTATTGAAAAGCCTCTTGCTGTAAGGGCTTTCAAACTCTGAAGTAACAGCTGGCCATATAAAAAGCAAAGATTACAAAATGCAAATCTAGGTGCCAAAAGAGCTAATATGAAAAGATGGAAATTTATCAAACACAGCATGATGCTGGTGAATGAAGGGTGCATTTAAAAACAATTTGAATTTAGGATTACTTATAGTGGATGTCATTCATTCATTTTTGAAAACGTATTATTACTGACATGGGAGAGTAGTATGGCTCTTACCATGTTTCTGCATGTAAAATATAAACAGAAGCAGGAGGAGCAAGGAGGTAAATCTAGACATTCAATAGCTAAAAGGCAAATTCAGCCATCCTTTCTAAAAGGCACTTTGCTTCACTGACATTGACAGAAATATCCTCAGGAGACCATACGACTCAAATAAACAAGAACAATGCATATTGTTACAAAGGTTTGCTTATGAGTTGCGTATGTGCAAAGAGAAGGCAAATTTGCTCTGAGACTCTCTGAACTAATACTACTCCTTATTACTTTTGTGTCTAGCTCTGCAGAGGAGTGGCTTTTGCACTCAGTCCTATTAAAAGCATGAGGGTAAAACGGTAGGCAGCAGCTGTGGTGGTATTATGCCTTGAGTGCTTCGCACAAAGACAGCTGAAATCTTTATGTATTGGGTAACAAGTTCTCAAAGTGATCTGAAACCAGCACTTGTGTTTGTTGTCTGGTCCTCAGTTTTGGTGACCAAGCTAGTCAAGAACAGATAACCTTAGGCTCTCAATCTCATAAATCTGATGAAGAGCACACTGAGGGTTGCTATACATCATACCATGAGAGTTGAGGGAGCAACCTATTTGGTTTCAGCTGTGACCACCAGCACAGATCTTGACCCGTCAGTGGCTTCAGTCACAAGACTTTGTCCAGTCCTGCAGGCTGGCATTTCCATTGGCAGAAGTGATTCCTCCCAGTCCCAGTACTTGCAACCGGCACTGTGCTGCAGGTCTTACGATGGATTACAATAGTTCCATGCTTTTGCACAATGCAGGTGTACCTAACTACCTGACAAAACTGCTGGACAAATAGAACTGTGAATTAAAATTACTAATATATTATGCATCATAAACATGCAGAGCAGTCATCCATGATAAAAACAACATGACCTTTGGGCTACTCTGCTGCCTGAGACTGCTTGAAGCAGAAATTACTTGCAGCCTGTCAAACACCATTCTGAAGTGAGGATTGACATTTTAAATGATGGCTCCTTGATTTCACACATTAAATTCAAAATTCCAGTCTAACCTTCTTTTCAGGGTGTCTGAAGACCATAAGGGACAAAAATGAAACCCTCCTGGCTTCAGAGGGTAGATTTGAACCTGTTAATTGTTGTTATTCCACTGACAAGACAGCGCATCAGTTCTACACCAGCAATTCTTTGGGATATTTTGAACCAGGAATATTCTGAACTGGGTAAAAGATGGGAGAGTCCACAGGAAAAGAAGGTGTTCATTCATTTCGTGTAGCTGGAAAACATGATGTGGCCTTTTGAAACCAGGACCATCAAAACAGAATAGAGGTCAAAACTGTTAGCTGCAAAAACATTCTAAATAAGACAAACAGTGCCAACGTCTCTCCTTTCACTGTATTTCTTTCCACAGCCATAGCGAGACTGACAAGGCATGTAGAAATTATTTCACTCTATGGAGAGCAGTGCATCGCTGCATTTCACTTGGAAGAGAGCAGTATCCAACTGTATCATTTCTAACTGGTTCATAGAAATTGCACCAAGTCTATATCCCCACTATTTTTCTTTCCACAGCTATAAATAATTCTTGTTATGAGCCATGTGAAAATAAATGATTCTACTGTGTGAGAAAGTGAGGCCCCATTTATCTTTAAACTGACTGGTACCCAACTTTGTCAAATGCCTGTTTGAACTTCACAGAGAGTATGTATGTCGGCCTATCATATAGGGAAGAAAAACACAGTGGAAACCATCATGGTATCTCTTCCAGCTTTGAATGATTTAGTCAAATATCCCTGTACTATTATTGGGACTGTCTGTGGAGGAGACGTAAACTTGGTGTCTTAAAACATAGTTCTCAAGTGGCTCCTTTTCAACGGATGATGCAAGCTGCAGAAGAATGGCTCAAACTTTCCATGCTGATCTGCTCCCCTGTATCCCCAGGAATGCAAAAGTATATAAAGAACTGTATGTCTCCATGGGGGATTGCACATAAAATGCCCTGGTCATAAGTGTTCAGACAATGTGCAGGTCATTTCAGACTAAGAGGTCTGATGGGCTTTCAGTGCATTAGCAATGAAATCCCAAAGGATTTCTCTTAATGCAATAATCAATATTGTTAAATGATAACTTGCTCATACAAGCTGCCTATCTGGCACAAATACCAACTGATGTGCCCAGCACAAATGGGACACATGCAGAAATGGAAAATACAGGCCAATGAAAAACCATAGAAGCATTAAAATGTACTAGTCAAAATAGCAAGTGAAGGCAACTAAGCATTCAAGCCTCCTGTTAGCCCTGAAAATGGTTCACTCCTCGACATACAACTGAAAAAAAAAAGCAAAAGCAAACATAGGATTTGCACAAAAGTACCTAAACCTTCTTACATTTTTTATATTTTGTGGAAAAAAGCAATTGTAAATACTAGTCTGGAGATGGAACTCAGCAACACCATCACAAAAGCTGTGGGCCCATCTGAACCCAGAAACAAACCCTGACTTGCTGTTCACAAAGAGTGGAGAGGTTTCACTCCAGCTTCTGTGACTCACTGTCATCTCTATGTGCATTGTGAAATGTAAGTCTAGGCTCGCAGCAAATCCTATAAGCAAAGGCCTGGCATAAAGACAGTCACTGTGGTGAAGTTAAGCATGACTACTCTCTGGATTTGCTTATGTGATCCTAGAGCATTGTGGAATTTGCTAGTAAGTCACAGTTTTGGCACACAGATCCAAGTACTCTTTTTAAATATCCTTTCTTTGTAGTTATTTTGCAAAGCTCTCCATATTCTTTTTGACACTCAAAAGCTAATTTTTGAAGAATGGAATGGGCAATAATTTTATAAGAATGAAGGAGGAATAAATAAAATGTTTCTGAAATAAGTTATGCTAAGTTTTCTGAGCATCTCAAAATACGAGGGAGGCAGTGGAATCAGTGTAAAATACAACTTCTCAGCTTTAAATAAAGGAACAGAAACTCAGTTGCTTTATGATATGCTGTATAGCCCCAATCTGACTTGAAGAAAAAGGCAGTCCAGTATTTTTCTTTTCACGTCCTTGTGAATATTAATGGGAATGACTGTTCCTGTTCTACTTGTACATATTTAAGCTCTGCTCAGAGTAATTCACATTTGGAAGGACCTAGCTCTGATCAGGGGTGTGTGACCACATGTGTGTGCATGTATGCATATAAACTCACGAAGATTTGCCTTGCTGCATACAAGTCAGAAAACAAATTAAAAAGTAGGGATTTTAGGCAACTTAGACCTTAACACTTCACATAAGCTGCTTAAAGGCAGGTGCAAGGGTAATCAACCCGCAATCTTCACTTAGCTGTTGAACAGTGATGGATATGGAGATTTCCAAAGCCTCATCACAGGCGGAAGTGAGGCTTCTCCTTTCAATGGCTGGACAAATATTTGAACTGATTGTGTCTGTCTAATCCTTTTCAGTTTTGAAATGCTACCTAGCTCCAGGAAAATAATACACTCCCAGATCAACCTGAAATAATTACAGAAACTTCATACCCTTCTTGTTTGTATTAATGACAGCATGTTAGCATTAATAATGCTATTACCAGCACAGGCTGGACATCATATTTTCTAGCT